GTATGTATTGACACAACCAATACATAACAAATTAAATGTTAATTATTTTAATTAATTTTAAGGTCTGAGTAAACGTTTGTTACGTTTAGCCAAAAATCCCATTTACGTGTCGTACACATTGGGCACTTTATTCCGTGTATTTGGAGTTATGGGATATTACACATTCAAACCCAAGTACCTTGAGTCTATGTATAAAAAGTCTGCATCAACCGCTAACCTATTGTCCGGTATATTTTTGTCTTAAATTTATTGTATAATTAAAAACAATAAAAAGTATACCTATTAAATATTGTACAGGTATTGTGGGCACTATACCGGCCGCAATAGGTTTATTACTAGGGGGAGCATATCTAACATTTCTACAGCCGGGTCCCCGACAGTTGACATCATTTATAACCATCATTGAAATCCTGGGTACAATGGGCTACGTGTCCGCCTTTTTTCTAGGCTGTCCGCCCACACCATTCGCCGCACTTCCTAAGGATAACGCCAATGATATGTAAATAACAATTGCTATAAAATGAAAGCCAAAAATAATTGTAACAATTATTTCATCAAATGTTTAGTAATTTAGGCTCACAATTGATGTGCAATGTAAATTGTTCCTGCTCACATAAGTTCCAACCAATTTGCGGGCCCGACAACTATACGACATACTTCTCTCCCTGTTATGCCGGTTGTGATCCGCGATCTCTTGCATCCATTAATGGCACAAATGTAAGAGATATTGATAGCAAATACGGTACAGCTTAACATTTAGTAACCTTTTATTATATTGGGACACAATTTCTTAAAGCATTTCTCGGGGTGTGATTGTATTGATGACATTGGGATGTCAGGGATGGTTAATCACACGGGGATAACAGGAATGGCAACCGAAGGCTTTTGTGACTCTCATTGTGGCAATAATTTTGAAATACTAATAATCCTGATGGCTATAGCGGGCATAGTGGGTCGTCCCGCTATGGCCGGTAATGTGATCATATCATTCAGGTATTAAACATTTATTAACTTACTTGTTAGCAACAAATGTAAAAGTTTATTAAATGTTAATATTTTGTAACTTACTATAAATATACATAAATCTCTAACCTATTGCATTGTTTATTAGAATAGTGGACGAGGAAGATAAAAGTCTGGCCATGGGTGTAGCAGGGGCATTCTATTCATTATTTGGTAAATTTAATCTTATCTAATAAGTATATAATTAATTAGAAAATAAAATTATCTAGATTAATATCAGATAGAATTAACTATACAATACTATATTTTACTTTAAATAGCATTCATACCCTACCCGTTGGTGTACGGGTGGGTAACTAACACGGCGTGCGAGGTATGGGAGTCTAAGTGCGGCAAAACGGGTAATTGTCTGGTGTATGACGTGGATAAGTTTCGCTATAGACTGATCGGGTTAACTCTTGGCTTGTATTTCGTTGGTTCAATATTCGACATAATAGTGGTATTCCTATCGCACAGAATCAAAAACCTATACAACGATGACGAGGATGAGACAGACCATCATATTAACAAACCATCAAATGATCACAAAAAATAATTTTTTGTTTATAAATTAAAATAGGTTTAGGTAATTGGGATAAATAATTTATTTTTATATTATATTTATTTTAAATAAAATAATGAAATTAAAATAACTTATATTATAAAGCCTTATGATAATTTTTATATAATATAAGGTTAAATTTAATTTTAAAGCTTGAAAATAC